GTCATCTCTGCCTTGGGGTTGGCTGATTATGGACTGAAACTTCTACAAACTGTAAGTGAAATACACCCCTTCCCTTTTAACTTTGGGTGTCATGTATTTTGTCTCAGCAATGAGAGAAAAGTAACTAACACATTAATCAAATTTAGCAGACATAGAATTGATTTCTCCCATTCCCTCAGAATGCCTTGCTGACATGAGCTTAATCTGCATTCAACTTGACTTGGAAGGGTTAAGATTTTGGTTGTTCTAATTGCCAGATTTAAGCATGAACAACTGGCATCTGTTTAAATGTTGGGATGTCAGCAATAAATGCATCCAGTGGTAGTGGACTGTATGCAGATCATTGGTTCTTCCACACTGGCTATGGCACTGGAATCCCATACAACTCTGTGGGAAAGACAAGTATTCTTCCAAAATGGATCACCTAAGAACCAGGAAAGTTAAAGGGTTTACTGAGTTATCACCTAAAACACAAGTAGAATTGGGCCATGAACTCTAATGTATGACTCCAAATAACCTTGAAGAAAAACAATTTCTTAAGAAGTAACAAAGAGAGTGTTATGTGTCCTGTGGTTAGCTAGATTAACATTTTATCCCCACAGTTTAGTAGAGTAATTGGTATATAACAGATGTTCAATGAATATTTGTAGAATTAATGGATTAAATGAGAGGATTATGAGTGTATTCATTATTAACATTTTTGGTTTAACTATAATTTCTCTAAAGTCAGTAAAATAAATTTTAATTTTTATTAATTTCACAATGCAGAAAATATGTATTGATGGGTGCTGTGTTCCAGGTTTGTGCTCCATGCTGTCTAATGCTTATGGTGGATTAAACAGTGATACTCACTGTCCTCAAGGTGCTTGTGGACTAGATACAAGGGCTTTCCATACCCTCTGAATCCATCCAACCAGATTTTTCACATATATGAAGGTTCACAACAATCATCATGTTTAGCCTAGTCATTTGGTCACCTGAGCACCTCATTAAAAATTAAAAATATATGAAATCATAACTAAGATAGCAGTTGCAATTTCAACCCACCAGTCTATTGTTTTCTATTGATTTGTGATTAATTTGTTGCCTTCGTGCAGTCAGTCACTACATGAATATAGTGTTTGATATTTCTTATCATTGTTTTCTTATTGTTTTTTTCTTAAACCCAGGAAAGTGGGATATCAAAGAAAAAATAGTGGGCTAACAATTTCATGCAAGATCATGTACACATTAATGATAGACCTGAGAACAAAATCCATGTTTTCTAATTCCTTGTGTAAAAATATTTTAATAAATCCTAGTTTTTCCCAGAGTGATATACCTTTTGGTTCTCTTCCATTTAAGTGCTATTTTTAAATAACTGGTATATCCAAATGTATGAGAAAGACATTGGATGACAACTAATTCACAGAGGGAAATGAAGTAGTCTTTGGAATATTTAGTGTGCTTAACTTATTTTCAGCTATAGGAAAATTTTCTAAAGGGATAGTCTGTCATGCACATAGGCACTTACTGTAAAGACAGAATTCTTAAACCAGGCAAAACTTTGATGACAGTACCCATCCTAATAAGAAACATGTTTACCGTATGAAAAAATGTTCCTTGACCGGAGGTTTTTAACACACTAAATAGATCAAAACACATCAACAGTGCTTCAAAAAATTAAGCAAAGTATATTTTCTATTGTCTTCAGAAAAAAGATGTAAATATGGAGATATAAGACATGGCTTCAAGTCTGAACCTTATTACCCACTAGTTATGTGATATAGGTCTTGACTCATGAAAAACTAGAAGAAATTGTCAAAATACATATATATAGCTACTATTTTTTATAAGTAGTCAATAGCGTATGATTGCTTTGAATAGTTCCTTTAGAGGCCTCACAACCATCTCCAGGTAGTTACATTTTATTGGCACAAGAGTTAGTGACAAGGAAATTTCAAAGTAGACAGTACCATACAGAAGTTTTATGACAGAAACTAAAAATGTACATTTGCTCAAATCAGTATTTCCAAGGTCAAGAACTAAAAACTACTTTTCCTTGGAATCGTTCTAAAAATTTAAACATTTGTTTCTATCCGACTCTTATTTTTCCTATATATACAATTGAGTCATACATTACCAGAGGTATGAGAAGCCTGAAGTCACATATATTTTGCTACTTAAGGGAAATCATCAACTTGGTGTGACATTAAAAAATGTGTTTTGAGACTCAGTGTGTCTGAGCTTAGGAACTGGCTTTATAAAATTTAGGAAATGGGCTAGATTATTTCTCTCTCCCCTTTAAAACAGACATTGAAATGAGTATTTACTTTTGCGATAAACCTTGCTTGCATTTTGTCATCAAATCTAAAAAATAATTTTCCAGCGAGACTACATGCTCTATACTCTGTCCCTGTCTCTTAGGACATTTAATTTCATTTGGGAATATGATATCTCCCTCTCTCTTTCTTTCTCTCTCTCTCAAATATAATTCTTCCAATTTATTTTCCCTATGAAGACCTATAGAATAAAAATGAATTACCTAAACTTACACTGGGTTCTAAGTATGAAAGCCTCAGAGCTAGGATGTTCTGCAGGATACCACACCATCTCTAGTGTAAACAGTAATGTTCCTTCTTTTATTTCTCTCTTCTTCCTACCTTCCCTGCTCTTAATTTTTACTTTCAACTAGTTTGGAAATCCCTATAACAATACCAGTGAAAAACCAGTAATCTCATACAAGTAGAAGCACAGATTATATTTTCCAATAAGCAACATTAACCCAAGCAGTTAATGAAACCAGTCAGGTCAGAAGGTTGTGTGAGAGGAGATAGGACAGGGAACATGCAAAGACACAAAGGCTCATAGATCTGGCTCTGTGACCCTTTGCAAATTACTGCTCAGTATAATGTATACTGAACAGAGATTAAGTCTGTAATTACTACATTCTGTTGGGACTCAATTATTCTTTTCAATTTTTAAAAATGCATGTTCAAGAGATAATTTGTTTGCTAAAACATATAATGAAACCTTAAAGCAAAAAGAGGATTGAATTATAGAAGAACAATGTGTAAATAGAATCAAAGGAATCACTCCTTTAACCCCAGTGAGACCCCAGTCTGATATTAGTCACTGTTGTGATGCTAAAAAGATCCCACATTTATTCTGTGTGGGCAAAGCAAAATAAAACAAAAATCTGAAAACTTGTTTTAAAATGCAGTATCCCTTGTACTTGTCAGGTATTTTTATCCCCTCCTCATTTACTTACCTTTACCCAAATTCTCTTCCTTTTCCTTCTCCACCCCACCTGCTTTGTGTTTGGACCTTTAAAGGTCAGGGAAGGGAAAGGGCAGTCATGCCTTTTCTTTGGGATGGCACTTTGGAGTCACTTTATCAAACATCGCAGAACTAAACAATTCATCCAGATGCACAGCACAGAGTGCTGTGTTTGATTCTGCGGGATCTCTAAACTTTTTCCTTCCCACAGCAGTGCATTCAAACCTTGATTAGGTTTTAGGAATGAAAAAGGAACCATTTAAAAGCCAATGCACACAGAGGGAGGAGCTCAAATTGGGCAGAGCCAACAGTTTTCCTTTCATCTTTATTTTCACCTTAGATTTAAAGCATTTTCTCTTTTATCTTGAGGGATGTCCCTCAAAACAGACTTTCTCTAAAGGTGGTAATGGCTTACATATTCATGCTTTCTGACTCATTCATTCAGATATTGACTCTAAACTCAGGAAAATTCTTATAGTCCAAGGACATAAACACATATGAAATAAGGAGAAAATAAGATAAAAATTCCCTAGAAGGTGATCTTTCTTGTATATTTCATATTGCACATGGAGAAGTCTATAAGACATAAGATATAATCACGATAGTATTCCACACAATGCAAATCTTTTTGTTTGGTAGCTTTGTTCCCTGTTTCTCTTCCTTGGCTACAGGTATAATGTGGGGACTAGAAATATCAAAATTGTGTCCCCCATATCTCTTCTATGGGCATTATTTTCTGGTTTTCAGGATTCAATGCCAAAATTCATATTTCTAGCTTACTCTGAAATGTTGCCTGTCTTTGAACATTGGATCTACCTTCCCACAAAGCAACAAAATTCAGAGTTGTGACTGACCCCTTTGTATCAATTCATTCTCCAGTCCTCCAAGCTTCTTTCAAATTGTTAACAATTGGCATTGTTCATTATACTTCAGTTATTCTCCCTTTCACCTGGCATTTTACCTGCATGGCCAAGATGGATATGAGTTAATGATGTATATGATGCTGAAGAAGAACTCATAGGACTAAAGGGATCATTTTTTACACCTTTAACACAATGGTTCATTCAGAGCAGGACTTAAATGTATATTTGATCACAGTCAGAAATACACAGAGATCATTAAAATAAATCTGTGACTGTGGTATGGTCCTCCAAGGTTCAAAGGTATAAAGGAATAAAATTTATTATAGAGAAAAATACCTGTATTCCTCTCTCACACTATCCTAGAATGCATGCCAGTGCTGATCCAGGATTTCTTCACTGCATGCATTATGGAAAGAAACCTCCCTTCTTTCTCTACAGGAACCTCTCTACAATTTTTCATGTGGTGAATTCATTTTGTCATGGGGTGAACACCTGTGTGACTATTTAAAAACCACAACACCAGATGTGTGCATTTGAGTGTGTCTCTCTTTTGTGTAATGTTCTTCTCACTGATTTCTCAGCAGGATAGGTCAGAAAAAAGCCTTCAAAATGAATACAGAAAAAGGTCTTAAAGGGTTTTTAAAAACATATCTATTACAAACACATGCAATGAAAATTTGGCAGCCAAATTATACAAACAGGCCTTATCTTTGAACTTTTATTTTTAGCATCATGTAAAAAATGCTGGTATCTCTGGGTATGCCATTGAAAGTTTCTCATAGCAGAGCGAAGGTTGGAATGACTACTAAAACTTAAACATTCGGAAGGTATTATAATACAAAATATTTAGAATTATTTAAAAAATAAAGATTCTTTTACCTTTTACTTTGTCTCAGGCTCTCTGATCCTCTTTTCCATGAGATAGCTGCTCTGGGAAAAGCATTTGGTTTACATTCAATAGAAATATCCCCACCAATTTGAACAATAGAAATTTTTTTGATAGGACTTTTGGAGAAATCCGGAGCAGAGGCTAAAAAAATTAAAAATTAAACTGTTAATTAACATGCAGTGATTCAAAAGCTAAAACAATATTCTAGATAGAATCTAATATTTGCACCCAGAATTGTTTCTTCAACATCTTGGTTCAAACTGTCCTGGGACCAGTCACTGACAATATTTTGGAGACTCTGTTTTCCTTTGTAGAATGAAAGATTTCTTCTAGAATGAAAATAACAACAAATACTACCTCAGCCAGCTAGTGTGAAAATTAAATAAGATAAGAGTTATACAGCAGAATAGTATAGTACCTGACACCAAGTCAGTGCTCAAGAAGCATAATTTGTTTTGGTGTTGGTTATGGCCATTGCAATTAGAAAATTAAGGTGGCAGGGAGGAAGCTAGTTAGAAGACGTTACATTATTAGGAGTATTTACAATGAAGAGGATAAAGGTGGTTTTACAAGAGACAATACTGAGAATTTTAATCATGACTAGGGAATGATGAAATCTATTCTTGCCAAGATAATGATCCTACATGGGAATATATACCCTGTATTTCAATATATACCCAAATGTATATGTATATGTACATGTTCAGGTGTGCACGTGAATGTGTGTGCATGCATGCAATAGATGTGTCCAACCCACAGCTCACAAGCCACATGCCATTTTACTTTTAGTGCTATGATAAAAAATTAAAGTTTAATTACTTATATACATTAAGTATATTGTGTATTTTATATGTGCCCCAATATAATTCTTCTATACTCAGAGTAACCCAGGCAAGCCAAGAGGTCAATCATGCATAGGTATATCACACATATACATGTATAATACCAGTGAAATAAATAAAAAATATTTTATCAATATGTTTCATTTCTTCATGCAAACTTTAAGTAGCAAAATATATAGTCTGTCTTCTACAGAAGAAAATAGGCTAGACAGAATTTTTTTTAAATGCCTTTGTCATTTTCAGGTTTGTCTCCACTAAATAAACATCGAAAAAATACCAGTTCATGAGGGTGGTAAGTAGTAGACTTTCTGGGGTTTATCTAAATCTTTCCAACCTCAAAGATGTTGGAATCTCTCTGTTCAATCTCCATTCATAAAGTTCAAGTGAACTAATGTCCTTTCAGATTTCCCATGTTCTCTGGCTTCTGAGATTTTCAGGTATTACTATTCTGCCCTTCATCTGACCTATGCATGCTTTCTCTTATGATCTCTGATTAAACAGAATCCCCTTCATTTAGGTTACATCCAACTTGGTATATGTTCTGATATCAACAATTCAATTCTTGGGAACATTTTAAATTTATTTTTTTCTCAGTGAAACTACAGTTTCAATGAAAGTAAGGATCACTTTAATTTTGTTAATTACATTTTTAGATCTTAGTACATACTAACTGTTCAGTAAAACAATAGTAATAAAAGGAATGGGCAAAGAATAAATGCCTATTTCCCATAAGCTCATAAAAGTTGGTTTCTTTTGTTTTATCTTTCTTCTTATATTTCTTTCATTCTTCCCATCCCTAAAAAAGCCTTGGGTTGAAAGATCAAAGAATTACTTAAACCTACAGACATCATTGTTTGGATTTCTCAAGTATTGTACCATTCTCAAACTGCTTCAGTCTCAGCACTGCACTACCAAAATTTATCTTCCCAGGGTTTTTTGGTGTATGGATGGTCATGTGGCAGGCAGAACCCTGACATTTCAGGTAAAGACATAAATGAAATCAGCTATGCATACTTAGAGAGATTTTGCTTTTCTAATGAAAAAGAAGGATGTGGTCAGTTGATGACTTTCCTCTTCTGCCCTGAATATAAATTTGACTTCTGTAGCTAAAACAGTCATTTTGAAACCATGTGTCTTCAAGAATGAGGGAAAATTACAAAGAATGACATTGGGCTGTATTGGCAGCCATTGCCTCTGTTGTTGTGCTTTGTTAAATCTCTGTAAACTGTGATTTTTCTTAGGCTTATGTGATTGAAAGCATTCCTTCTGCTGGTATCTGTAGCTGAAAATATTCCTGATGGATCCCTATCGAGTAATACTCAAAATCAGGTCAGAGGAGTCTCTTCTGATTTAGATGCACCCAATGGTAAGACCTTCTTCAAGTGTTAATGCACTGCCTGAGCAGAATAATAATCACCACTTTTAATTGTGTAAAAATCTAATTTAGAAATTTCTCATTATATTAAGAGAAAGCATTTTATTATTTACAGAAAAAATTTAGTTCAGATTATATATAATCATAGCTTGCTAAAAGATCATTTTTAATTTTTTGGTTATAAATGTGTGACTTACCTAATACTCTCAATTCTGCATTAGCATAAATTATCTGATATTTGTTTTCTGCAGCACATTGGTAGACACCAGAATCTGACACATTCAGTATCGTTATGGTGAGTGTCCCATTTTCTATTTGAATTCTCTCCTAATAAAGGAAAAGTCAAAGAAAAGTAATGCTATGCTAATATAAACATTCCTTTAACCAGAATATATTATTCAACATTTGCAAATACATATGAGATCTGTATGTCAGTATATTACTGTAAGATTCTGAGAAGCTTTCTGAAGTTTAAAAAATAAAAATATGCTCAGTATAATTTTAGTGGTAGATTATTTTATATTATCTCATTTCTGTGAAAATTGGCTGTGTTTGCACATAATATGTGATAATTTTCTGAAATACGGTGTACAAAATAACTGTGAACACTAAACCTTTTAAGTTTTTCCAAAATATATGGCTGATAATATTAGCATGGATATCATAATTGGAATGTTACTTTGGCTTTCTATCACAAGGTCTTAAAAAGACTTGAAAAGTGATGAATTTGAAATTTGCTACTCAAGTCCTCAGAGGGAAAAGAAGAATCTCTTTTGTACAGCCTAGCACAAAGAGTGCTTCAGTAGCCAAAATATGTTACAGAGTCCCTTTTGGGCTATAGAAATACAATGTGGATTGTACATAATTAAATAATAGTATTTCAAGCTACCTGTTATAGTTCTTTGAGGATAATTAAGGTGGGTTGGTTGAAACAATGTTATATGCAAAAGGAATATTCACTAGAAAAATGTCACTAGAATGAAAACAAAGAATTATATCCTGCTTTCAAACAACAGATGTTCTTTATGACTGGCAATTCTTACAACGTGCAAAGTAAAATGAAAAATTAACACAATTATCTGGATAATTTAATGGTGAAAAAACAACTCTCATTCTCTGGATATTATAAAAGAAAATATGTGTAGAATGAAAAATGTGGATAACTGTCTTACTTCTCTACTTTCTTATAGCTTTAGAGACATGTTAAATCATGACATAAAGTAGTAACTAAAATCTTGGATCCTGTATTAGACAAAGTTAATATGCTGTAACTTTTGTTACATACTCTATGATGTTGGAAAAGTGGTTTAACCTCTTTGAATGACATTTTCTTCATCCAGGGTCTTGAAATAAGACAAAATTTAAAAAGCTAACTTTGACTTTTATTAGCTGTTGCATGATCTTGGATGAGTTTCTTAACCTCTCTGAAGCTCATTTTTCTCATCTATGTAAAGGAATGACGATTATATCTTTCATAAAATTGTTATACCAAAGGACGACATATGGAAAAATGGCTCATATAGGACCTGACTCAATAAATTTTAGCTATGATGATGATGATAATTATGATGGCATTTAAATGTTGATTTATTTCTAACTATCTCTGTGACCTTGTGTAAGTTACTTGTCTTCTTTACCCTTACTTGAAAAATGAGGATAATATTAATAGGTACTTTGTGAGTTTATTTAAAGATTAAATAAGTATGTAGTTCCTTTTCTCAATCATACTAAAGACTCCCTAAAATGAGCTTTTACTATCAATTATTGTTATTATCATTAGGAAAAGTGACTTAGAGGAGAAGGTGAATTTTTAATAGCAATATTGTTGCTTACCTCTGAGTTGAGGCGTTCACCATTTTTTAGCCATGTGTACCAAGGATTTGGTTTTCCACTAGCTTTGCATTCCCAATACAAATTGTCATAGATAGAGAGATATGTATTTTGGATTTTGTGTTCCCACTCTGGAGGGGCTGTTTCAAAATAAAAGGCCAGGGTAACTGGTGAAACCGTTATCTAAGACATCAGACTAGGTTCCAATGTCCCTAGAAATCAAGACAAAGTTAACTGGCTTCAGGTGGACTGCACACACAAAATTTGAGGGAGGAGACATGGAGAAGCTTCAGTATGAAGTGACAGAAATCCTGTTGCAAATATCATTGGGTATTTGGCTCAAGCTAGATGTTTGTTATCTGACATTTTGTTGTACCTGCATAACAGCTTGGAAGTTGTGGGAAAAGGTGAAAATGTAGAACAGGGCCAGAGAGTAATGCCATGCTAAATAAGAGTACATGGGTCAATTTAGAAAATACAGAAGAAATTTAAACCTTTTGAGGGCAAAATTTCCCTTAATTACATATGATGTGAAATAGCACAACATATCTACATCAGAAATAATTATAAAGCAATAGTTTTACATATTAATGAAATATGAGCCCCAACATTTTCTAGAATGTTAATCCAACACTTTTTTTTTCTTTTTTTTTCCAGTACTGGGAATTGAACTCAAGACTTTGCGCTTGCCAGGCAGGCACCTTGCCAATGAGCTACATCCCTGGTCCTAACACTTTCTTGACTCAACAAGGAATGAAACTTTTGGAGCTATACACAAATTCAGTAACTAACTTTAAATCTGAGCATGAAATTTTAAAAATTTATTTTCTAAATGAAAAGTTCTGAATAGTGCTGATGAAAACAGCAACTGGCATAACTGATAGAAAATATCGTGGCATTAGATTTACTATCATTCATGTAAGTAGATGGGGTGCAAACTAAATGTTTTCAATTGAATATCTCTTTCATAAGAAATGCCTGGATAAGCAATTAAACCCTCTCTTTTATTTAATTTTGTCTTTGGACATTAAAGAGTGTATGAATCTTCCCTTGGAATCTCTGGTTATGATTAGCTAGATATTTTACATGTATAATTGCAATTAATTTTATTTATTGTGGATTTCTGCAGAGATATAAAATAACCTACTCCAGGGGACATACTTAGAAAATAAAGAAACCAGATTTGAATCTTGAAAGTGTAGCCTAAGGGTTGTGCTCTGGATGTTTATTTGGGAATGCTACCCTAAAGGAAAAGCATCAGAAAAAAAGGATAGTCGATGTGGAAAGTCAAAGCAAGATGAATTCTAGAGTTGGCTATCAACATGGGTCAGTTTTACTCCATTCCAAGTAAACTTCTAAAGATTCCCAGGAAAGGAAAGGGAACATTTACTCATTGATTCCTTTCTACAGTTATCCTAGGTTAGTGTTGGCATAAACTACTAGCACATACAGTTTGCATGTGCAAAAGTGCTGAATATGTTCTTGAAGGGGCCAAAGAAAACCAACCGGAGGTACTTGTACCTGAGACAAGACTCTTTCAGGCTATGCTCATAAAATGTAGTGCTGAGCCAGCTTCTGTAACAGTGGTTGGAATAAGGGGTGGGCCCAAGCGGAAGTGAAATGATGTTCAGTATAAAACCCAAGTTTGTCTGGCTTCCAGGCTTCTTCTACTGCAACACCTGCCTCTGCTAAGGCAGAAGGCCCTTTAGGGACCCAGTTATCATGCAGAAGAAATTAGGAGGTCTCTGGGTGGTGAGAACCAAGCCCAGGATTATCTCCTGTAGAAATCATTAAAACTTCTGGTTACAGAACCTGCCTGTTGCAGCCTGAGAGACAGACCAAGGCAAGACTTAGAAGAACACAGAGTATTGATGAAGTTAAATTCCTTTCTGTATATTATTAGTAACATTTTATAATTTGTGCATATTTTTCAAAAATTGACCGAGTATATGTTCAACATAGGATACAAATGCATGCTCATATGAGATTTCAGTAGTTTTAAAAGGTTTAAGATCAATTTTTTCTGCTTAATGCAATACATGCAATATGAAAAGATATCCATTTATTTAGTGTGCATATCTTTTGAAAACTTAACATTCTGAGAAGCGAAGTTTTAAATCTTCAACCATATAGGAAACACATAGCAGAAAGTGTCTCCTGTACCAAAGATAATAGTCTAGAGGCTACTTTTAAAAGTTAAAAGACAAAATGTGGAGAGATATTTTGTATTACTTGTTTCTGAATTGTAACTTAAACAACATCATGAAACCAAGCTTTTCTGAGTGAATTTTTTAGATGTTTATTCAACACTGAGTTAACTGGGCCACCTCTCCATCCACTTTGGGAACACTTTGGCAATCTTTTAATCTATAACTAAGAAATTCAATGATTATTTTATTGACATTTATTCCATTCTTCCTCCACCTCTACGAGGACTTTCTGGAATCTCTAAATGGCTGATTAGGTCATGCTGAGACGGGGTGTGAATGGATTTGAACTACCAAGTTGGAGGCGACAGGAGAGTGGAAGGCCCTTCAAGGATTTGATCTTGGACTTGACAGTCATTATCTGTGATGTCTTGTTCAACTCATCTAAAGTCTCTCGCTATAGTATCAGTAAAAATTATACCTCAAAATTACTGTAAGAATTACATAAAATAATATTTGTAAAATTCCATATAAATTCATAGTTGCTGGATCAATGTAGAATAAAAAGTACTGTATTACTGATTTTCAGTTTATAGATACCTTGTGTTCAGGTTCATCTCTTGGTTATATCTTTGTCTACTGAATAAAAATGAGAAATATTTATTAAGGGAATGTAGCAAAAGCCTTTAATATCTTTATTCCAAAGACTTTTTTTTAAAAAGTAAGTACTATTAAAAATATTTTTGTCTTAGCAAGCATTGATAAAACTGTCAGAAAATAATCAGCAGGAAATCATATTCTATATACAACAGCAATTTTTATTTCATATTAAAATTGGAAATTAAAAAAAAATGAAAATCAATGTGGCTAATGTATAAAAATGTTACCTCCACAAGACACTCAATCTGTATTAGTATGGTGTAATTATAATCCACTAAACATTTTTTAAAGCAATTATTTTATCCAATAATTTTATTATTGATTACAAACATGTTGCATAAGAAAATAATTTTGACCATATATATATAGTTTTTAAATGTTATATAGTGCAGTTACTGAATTTACTAAAGATATTAGGATGCAATATTATAAAAGAACCCAAATTTTTTTATAATGCTGAGGTATCTTTTATGGTTTATTTGATGTTTTCTAAAAAAAAGAAATTTTAAGCAAGTGTGGACTGTGACCTGGATGAAAGAAGACATAAAGACGGTTTTTTGGATAATTTATGCACTAATCATCTCATTTCAGTTCATGAGCGATTCTTTCTGGTAAGTGTGGCAGACTACTGTTTTAATAAGATACTGATGTTATTTTACTATTATCTTCCTATAAACAGGTGAAGCCTGAAAAAAGGAAATAAATACTGCAAACCACCATTCAGTATATTTATCCTATCAGTTTCCTCCTTCATTCATAAATTCTACTTAGCATTATAATTAATATTGCCATAGGCTATTTTTGAATGTTTTATGGGAAATATACTGGAGTCTGCACTACCTTGTATTATAAACTTTTATGGCTTTAGCATAGTAATGCTGATATTTTCCAGGCAAATATAATAAACAACAGCACATATAGACTAATGTGAAATTAAAGTCATATTTATAGATGATCATTCTTACCTGCCAATTGTTGTATTGAGCATTCAACCTGGAAATCTAGTCTCTCTATTTTCTCATGCCACTTTTCTACAACATGCTAATGACTTCTACTATTTATTCTAAGGGATATTACCAGGTATTCCATTTTTTTTGAAATTCTAACTGCTTACCATAGAAAATGAGTTGACCCTTTGCAAGGTTTCTTCCTCGAAGGTTTCCTGCAAGGCACTCATAGAAGCCTTCATCCTCCTGTTGAAAGTTCGGGATTTCAAGGATAGCTTGGGATTTGCTGTACTTGATTTTCCTTGGCAATGGGCTTCCATCCAACCTTCTCCAACTAATATCAGGTACTGGACTAAACAGTTATGCCTCATTAGAACAGATGATGGTGTAGTCTTTATGACAGTAGGATAAAATAAGAATGTCCTTAAAAGTAACTCTCAAGAAAAATAATTTGATTATATTATAACTAATTTTCAGATCATACGGTCACTCACCATTCACTCATTCAATCATTTATTTAAAACTTGACAAAGAGCTTGCCATGTCAAAGTCAGTGTATTATGTTCAGGGAATATATTTGTGAACGAAATAGCCATGGTCTCTGTCCTCATGTTGGTTATAGACTAATGGAGAAATATGCCATGAACAAAGTAAAAACAAAAACATTTACAAATCTTGATAACTAAAGCAAGGGAAATAGAGTGCGGCGATCTTAACAAAACTATCAATTTAAATGTAGTGGTCAAAGAAATTCCTTGAGAGAATGTGATATTTAAGACTATGCAGGTCTACAGGTATTATAGATTCTAAGGCAAAAACACTGATTCCACTGTGGTCTGGTATCAATAGGTAAGTAAAAATGTAAAGGTTAGCTCCATGTGAATTTGATTGGCTTCATGATCCTCAAAAGATCACTATACACTATTATAAAAAATAGTATATAGCGATAAAATAAAAATGGATTTATATTATATCTGTATCCTGGGCAAAGGATTTATAAATAAAGTTCTTTTACTTAGAGATATTTAGGCTATTATGTCACATCTAATATTTTCAGTTTTAAATGAATGTCTTTTAATATAGTAATATAAATGTTATATGAAATTATGCATTTAACAATAAGGGATAAGTTTTTTAAATCCCTGGTGTAAAGACCTCATATTACAGGTGTAAGGAAATATAGATTTTAAGTACATTTAGAAAAGGAAACCATTTACTAATAAACTAATCACTTATAAAGTAAGTCTCCCATCTCTTTACATGAAGATGTCTCATATTGTCAAATATTCTTCATTCTTTATAAATTTTCAAATGGTTTACATATTTCTACTCTATATTTTAAATTAATAAGAATAATGATAATAAGTCATTTTGAAAGCCAACTTGTAAGCCTTATAGAAGAAGCCCATTTTCTTCAAGTCATCAAAAGTAATGTGGGAGAATTATCCTATCATATGAAATGTGGTTGACACAAAAGGGATGAGCAGAGTTTTAACAATAAACAACTACAGAAAGAAAGAAGCTTCAACTAAAGCAGGAAAACTGATGAAGCTCTAGAAATTTTTATTGGCAAAACATTATGATCATCCTGTGCATATCAATGAAGCCTAGAAAATCATATCGTGTGCTTACACTTGTCAGAAAACATGACTCAAATCAGCATTTAAGTCACCTAATTATCTCAAAATTAGCAGGTACTTACAGTTACATCTTGAATTTTGTTAAATACAAAATAAACTAATTACTCTCCTAAATTTGGTTTTTGTCCTTTTAAAAAGCTTTGAAACTTGCCACAAATTTAGATAGAAATTTTAGAAATTGGCATATTCCACACAACAATTAATCTCAGGTAACTTTTTAATTCACTTTAACAATATACTTAACCTAAAAATGAGGTTCCAGAAAAAAATTTATTTAGTTAGAAAAAAATTCACAAAACCTAATACATTTCATTATATGAGGCTTTACTCCATATATATATTGATACCATATATGGTATTATATATATAATGAATGCACATGTGAGCATATTGAATTAGTTATCCATGGATCATTGGGACATGAATACTTTTCATTGTCCTTTTTGTTTACTTCTGCTTCCCTTGAATTTCCTGCAAGAAACATCCATTACCCGTGTAATAAAGTCTTTCTAAAAAATAATTTACAGAAAGAAAAAAAATAGAGACTCTGATACTTGTCTGAATTCATGATCTTTGCTTTATATGATAGTGTAGTCCAGAGGCTTATGACAAATACATACAAAATATCTAACCATTTGAAGAAACTTCTAACCAAAAACATTCACACAAGAACAATAAGTGCAAATTGAGTATTTTCCCCAAAGTTATATATTAGCATTTTATATTGATTTAAATGTAGAAGTCACTTTTTCACATTACTCAATACCTAACTAAATTAAAAAAATGACAACAGTAATTTAGCAATATGTGTCAGGTACTTTATATGTGTATAATACGTATATGTGATTTTATTTACTTTTCCTGTAGCTAAAGAGGCAGAGCTGGATTTTTTTTTACATGTTTCCTTACCTCAGAAGCTAGATACTTAATTGCAAGGCAATATTGACCCCCCCCACCCTGCGCTATTATAAGACCATTGTATTATGGTCTAAGTATTTGTAGTTTTACAACAGTAGATCTCCATTTTAAGGGACCCAATTGTGTGCAGTCAGAAAGACTTAAGTTCAAAAAAAAAAAAGACTTAAGTTCAAAGAATTCCAATCTCCCCCCAAAAAGAACTCAGTGATAATACTCAGTGGACAAGTACTTTTTTTTTGGTGGGATAAAAGAAGTACCTTTGATACACTGTTCCAATACAAACAGTATAGTAAAATGTGCCGAAGGTCCACTCCTACCCTTCTAAACCTACAGGCACCCTAGACCCACATATGCTTTCAGCATGGATGGCCTGTGCCTATAACTGTTCTCTCACAAAGAGAAAAGAGACAGTATCTAGGAATTTACATGCCTTAGGAAAATATTCATTAATAAACTGATCACTTGTTAAATAAATATTCAGTCTATTTAGGGGATGGTGGGTACAGATACTCCAGCTCTCTTTCCATCGGGGTTTTTTGAGTGTGATATCAACTTCAAGCTTCTGGTCATCAATTTATCAGCAAATGGAGAACATTTTGAAAGGCAAATCTAACACAGAATGGAACTTAGAATTATACATACCCAGGTCAGGTTATGCTAGATGCAAAAAGCAAAACTACACTACACTAAACTAATCTAAACCAAAATCAAAACTAACCAAACCAAAACCAAAAATCAAACAAATAAAAAACCAATCTCTCTTTGAGCAATTCAGTTTATGATTATATTCTCTGTCTTAAACCCATATGAATCATTTTTCTACTACTCTCCATCAAAAAGGCCCTCTCAGATTCTGAAGGCCTCTGTTAAATTAGTACCTAGGTTAGTTTCTATTTGTGTGATTGAATCATATGATATGATGGATTCCTTTTTTTATATTACATTTAATGTTCCAGATATTTTAGAATCTTAACAACCAATCCATCAAAAATAGTTTCAAAAATAATGATTAAAAATTCTTAACAAAAAATTTATTAACAAAATAACTAATGAGAGAAAAGGAAGCAGTTTTATAAAATTTCATAATTACTAATTAGATGTTCTAATTTTCTTCAGATATTTCATCATTGCTATACTCTGTATGAATACCGTGATACTCTTGATTATCACTGGGAAGTAAGATATGGAATTTGAGCAAATAAATTTAAACACAGATTTTAAAAATATATGCATTTTAATGAATAGCTTCCACTTTATCTTGGAACTTATTTGACACTAAATGAAGTACTTAAGATTTTATGTATTCTCTCTTATCTGAATCTCTTCCAAATTGGTCAAGCATATGGGAAGAACTGGAATCCATGAAAATTAAATTATTTTAGTGGTGGGATTTAAACTTTTAATGCAAGATGATTTTTCTAAGACATACAATTCTGTGTAAATAAAAACAATAAATGACTATAGTAAAGTTATAATACAGGAGTGTAATATTATTTATGCATTGATTAAATAAATGCACATCCTATGTTTAGCTACATTTTGTGGTGCATTTAATAGCATTTCGTTCTAAATTTTTTTTCACATAATAGAATAACAATACATAATTTATAGGCTTATTATAGAGATTAAATGAGATAATCTGTGCCATGTATTTAATATACTGTGTAGCACATATTAAGCAATATGTTTTATATATATGGAAACATATATATGAGAACATATATATATATATATATATATAAAAACATATATTTTTTTCCTCTGTTAATGTCTCCATATGGTTAGGCAATACAAATTGATTTATAATCATTCAAAAAGTGAAATCAGACCTCCACTCTAACAATGAAATGGTCACAGATACATGCATATACATTGCTCAAAGTAAATTCTCTTCATCTCATCACTTAATGTATGGGCCATGACCCCTCCTCCTAGTAGTAATGTTCATGTCCTCATGACAAGGGCAGGGATCTCTCAGGGGAGTGTGCATTGGTGTGGAAGACCTTTTTCCACCTGGCTAATTATCATGGAACCACTGTGGTAGGAAGAATTAAGACATTATTCCCCCCAAAAATGAAATTATGTGTTGAAAAGCTATACATTTTAAAATAATATTAATAACCATTAATTGAGTGTTTACTATGTACCAGGCATTGGGACAGATGGCTTCCATATGTCATCTGAGTTAAATACTCAGCTGGCAGCTTCTAGCAAAGCTAATTATCTTTTCAGAATGATACTCACGTTTAGGCAGTTAATTTCTACTAAATTATTACCTGCCAATTCTCCTCCACTTGGAGTTCCAGAACAGGCTAATTTATTGTGCTCAATCTTCTAATTCTGTTGAGTCGCCACCCTTTTGATTATAAGCACTAGTTGACTTCCTCCTTCAGTGGCTAGGTTCCATCTAGTTTATCCATGTTGATGACAATGGGAATACATTATACACTGACAGTTCATTCCGGTTCAAAAAAAAAGATTTATTTAAAATCAAACTCAACATATTAATCACAATAAAAATGCCATGGAGCAAGAGGGAGTCTTGAAGAGGACTTTTTAATGGAGATTATGATTAGATTGGATAGAACAGTACCATATTATATAGTCAAAATCAATAGTGACATTATTGATCTAACTACAGAGCTCACTGATTTCCCTTTGTGCTCTAATTCTCCACTCTTCCTTTTCTTTTTTTTTATTTTAAAGAATTCAAGCTTGGATGTAAATCTTAATAAAGAAAACTAACATGAAGAATTCTGTCACCCAGAATTTCCTCAGATCATGGATGAGAGAT